GGATGACAGAGTATTAGGACTAGGCAGTCCCTTAAGCATGGTTTGGTAGGAAGGGAAGTGCTGTGATAGCATATGTAACTGCTGTGCTGGGTAAGAGTCCTCTGCCTAAACTGACACTCCAGCACTGTTTATTTTCCGTTACTATTTGGAAGACCCATCAGGACATGAATGGGGTTGATAAAATGCCATGCTTTGATATGCTGCCTTGGCTTCTGAGGCTGTGGCGTAACCGGGTTACGTGTGGGATGGATGTTCAGCTCCTTCGTCCCGCAGATACTCCAGCAGAGGCTGTCCTCAGTGTGCTTTGAGGCAGGGGAAGAAGTGTGGGCTGCCCAGATATTACTGGGTTTTAACAGTAGAAAGGACTCGCAGCCTCAGAATGCTTTTTTCCCCTTTTTAAATTGTTTTTTTTTAATGGTTTGTTTGATTGGGAGGTTGGTTGGTTGGTTTTTACGTTTTCATACGCTCGGCACTGTAACAACTGTGCGTGTTTCTGGACACTCAGGCAGAACCATGGTAATCATTAGTCCCCCTGGCTTTTGTCCCAGTGATGGGAAAGGAGCATGTGGTGGCTCTGTCGGTGAGTGGACACAGGCTAGAAGGAGCTGAGCGACACTGTGTTGGCTCTGGGGCTGGCAGGCCGGGCTGCTTGCTCCATACCGGGCTGTTTGTTGGGTGCTTTTATCTGATGACTAATCTGCTGTGGCACGAGGGACGCCGAGCAGCAGTGGGGCCTGTCTGTGAAAGCCCTGTCTCTGTTGGCAGCGTGGGGCAGAGACAGCTCGTGTGCCTGGCGAGGGCTCTGCTCCGCAAGACGAGGATCCTGATCCTCGACGAGGCGACGGCGGCGATCGATCTGGAGACCGACGACCTCATCCAGATGACCATTAGGACCCAGTTTGAAGGCTGCACCGTGCTGACAATAGCACACAGGCTGAACACAATCATGGATTACACAAGGTAAAAATCTCCTCGTGGTGCAGGAGGGGGACGCTCACCAGTTTACTGGGTGTGTGGAGCAGCACTTAACAGGGGATGGTTTGTCTCTAGGTAGTCACACTGATACTCTTCTCAGGTAGTACATCAGCAGTGATGTTTGAGCCATATAGTCCTAGTATATCCAGACCTCACTTAGCTTCTTTTGGCATAAGAAACAGGTTCTGTAGTCACTAACCAGAGCGGCACAAGAGATTCTACCCCATTGCATTAAAGTCACTGTCAGCAGGCTTATGGATCCTTTTTAACCAGCAACTGCTGTAACTTTTTCACTAACATCATGCCATATTAATTACTCTAACATATATTACTATACTTCCTGAGCTTTTGTCTCATTGGCTTTCTGCTACTGTATTTTCAATTCCAGAGCTACCAGTATGACACTGTCATGGTTTGGGGTTTTTTTTCCCTTAATACCCCTGGGACTTCATTACTGCCCTGTACCTTCTTAAATCAAACAGCAGCTCAGGGAGAGTGTTTATCTCTTGTGTGACAAGGTGTGAAAAGAATGGAGCAAAACAAAGGCAAGGCAAAGCTTAGAGCAGTTTGCTTTGGGGTAGAAGGGATATCACATTTCTGTGAGGAATTCTCTGACCTATCCCCTCCACCACCACCTTTTGTTTTGCACAGGGTTCTTGTTCTAGACAATGGAACCATAGCTGAGTTTGATACGCCTGCCAGCCTCATAGCATCCAAGGGTATCTTCTACAATATGGCCAAAGATGCTGGACTAGCATGAAAAGAAGACCCCTTAGGGTTTTGCATTGGGTTTTTTGGTGTTTGTTTTAATTTGTTTTTTTTATATATATTACTGACTGCCACAAGTGACTTGTGAATGTACTGTAATTTACAAACCAGTTTTTGTAGTAGACTAAACTTGTGATATGTGAACAAAGTATTTTACAATTATAAGGACCAGAAAGTGAATTTTATATTTTTTAATATTTTCTATACACATAAAATATTTTATTATATGCTCTTTTTCCCCAAAGAATGCCAAACATTCTGCCAAGAGAATGTATGTATCGCAGGGCAATATGTACTGTATCCAGGTTTATAAATAGTAAATTATATTAATGGTACAAAATACACCTGTTCTGTGTGATTTCTGTGTAAGAATTCGTTTGGTTTGAAGTGGAAAGACAGGCTCCGTTAAGCAGTGACTCAGCTGAAAAATAGTGAAATAATGTGTGATCTCTGAGTGGTTCCAACCTGTTCCTTTCAGTATTTCCCTCAGGGCAAGGGAATTAGGTGGATGCTGCAGCTTCAGGGCTGTGAGCTATCGTGGACCTTTGGCATCCCTGCCCAGGGCAACCTGGGCATGACAAAATTCCTCTTCAAGCGTAGGAATTGCGAGTAATATGTATTCAAGAAACCTACAGATGGCTTGATATAAATCATTAGCTACACAATTTCTATCAATTTAGTCAATTCCACATAAGCCTGCAGGGATATGATTGGCACAGGAGTATAATAATTTTGCTTTATCTCTCTCTCTTATGTCTGAGTGACTCCAGGTAAGTCTCCACTGAAGCTGGACATGCATGCTGAGCAGATGCCTATATAATTCATCTCATTCAACAATTAATCACCTGAAATAATCTGTGATTTGTTTTGCAGAAATAAATATCCACTTTATTACTGATAACCAAATCTCCTCCAATAAAGGGAGTACTGTGTGTAAACAAGATTTGCTGCTAGAATCTGATAGAACACAGTTTGCTTTAGCTGTTCACTTCCTCCACCAAGCGCTCTGGAGACCTACCCAGCAAGATGAAGTTCCTATGGCTTTTTATAAGTAAAGTTCAGAAAAACTTTGAGAAGACAAAAATAATGATTTATTAATTCTTACAAATGATACTTTTAAAATAGGAACAAGAATCTGCAGCCAAGCGTTGGACATTAACATTTTGTATAGCAGGGCACACAGTAATGAATTATTTATCACACAGATTAATGTAATGATTATACAGGGATCAGATTGTTACAGAGTTAATAGTATCTTCTGTGTATAAACTGCATCAGGTATAAAAATACTCCTCGGGATGCATAGATAGTGATCAGCATCTGTGCAAGGTGATCAGTGTAAGGACAAAGCCATCCAGCCCAGCTTTCCTCTAGTAGGTGGGACTGGTTAAGCCCAGGACCTGCATGGCTTTGGCTGGTGTGGAGGCAGCCGACGCCAGACCCGAGCTGGTCTGTGGGCCAGCTGCGAGATGGGCAGGGACACGTGTGTTATTAATCCTTTAGGCAGAGGTGAACACACCACCAGCAGTGCAGCATAAAACCAGGTATTGCCAATGACTTGGACCATGTTGGACCTCCAGTGCTTTTCAGAAGAGGCTATTCTGTTGTGACAAAAGGTTCTGCAGTAGCCTTGGGAGAGCACGCTTCGGCCTCGTTAATTGGCACAAAGGATATTCAGGGTTTGGAAGGAGCTGGGCTTCCAAGTGGACACTGGGCAGCCGGCTACAAGGCAGGCTTGGGAGAGGGCTCCCCCTTGTGTGCTCAGGCACTGCTGCTGAAGCTGCCTCCCTTCGCACAAAGCACTAGTACTGGATGAGAGAGAGCACGGGTAAATCGGGGTACCAGTGCCTGTTGTGTCAGCTGTGACACAGGCCACTGCTCTGACTGCAGGGGAAGAACAAACGTCTTCACCTGCCCCAGCCTCCGAGAAAGGACCGAGGCTGTGGAGGCTCCTCACTCCAGTCAGAGGAAGTCTCTGGGAGTAGTAGAAGTTTCAGATGCAGCTCTTGCCTTAGCATTTCCTCCAGCTAGTCTGGGGGGGTCCCTCTCTGCTTACTGCTTCTGCAAATCCACGTACATTGTGCAGCTCACTTGGGCTGTACCTTCTTAGACAACAAGATGATAAAATCCCTTGGTTGCTGCAGTTTCCAAAGAAACTGGGTGGAAGGGGGGAAGACAAAGAAACATGGAAACTGAGTCCAGTCCATATTCTGTTTGCCTGTTAACATCTCCTACTTCAGTTCATCTAATTCACAGTACATACTTCTACAGTTAGGCTACCAGAACAGAACTCTTCCTTAAATGCAAATGACTAAATACTAAAAATCCTAAAAAATCAGATAAAATCCATCTCTGAAATACCTTTCAATTTATTTATTCCAGCATTTCATAGCGAAGTAGGCTAATTTTGAATTTTAAGTAATGGGAACAGGCAAAGTGAATTCTTTTTTATTTCTTTCAGTAAACAACACAGGTAAACAGAAGTCATTGGGATAAAAAGAAAATACATTGCATAGGAACATGAAGATGTATTATCAGCCCAGACTCTGAGCATTTCACTAGTTTCTTTTCACATAGGCAGCTTTAAAGGGTCAAGACACAATCTTTCTCAGGAATGTAGAGGTAAAAGGAAGATAAAATTACAACTTTTGTGCTTTTGAAAGGGGAAATTAAAGCAGCATTGAGGAAATGTTTTGTCACTACAGTAACAAAAATAGTATTTTAAATTGCACATGTCAATACTAAGTATTGACAGACAACAATAAAAGGGATTTTGGTTCAGAGCATATTTATGATTTGGATAATTACTATCACTTCATATTTTCAACCTGAGAAATACAGAAAAGTGTAAACAGGGATTAAGAAATCACAGGTAATAAGTCACTTGATACTGTTTAAACTAGACATAGTTTTGTGCTTCTTCCACAGATTCAAACCCTTCTGTTTTTTTTTTTTTCTTCCAAATAAGATATGACTTAAAATACACAATCTAAAAAGTGAAGGTTAATGGACTCGGTACAAATACTAAATGGGTTTCATGGCAGGTTCTTTAGCTTGAGTACCTCTGCTGTTTTATAGCAAACAAATGATTAGAACAGTTTAAGGTAAGCCTTTCCCTGAGAGCTGCGAACTCTGCAGTATTTCAAGATTATCTTTTGTAATGAAAAGTGTTAACAGATAGTTCTACCAATGCTTCTTTTGCATTAAGCTACTTTCATGTCAGACTCATTACTCTTAGATTAACCACAGGCTGTAACTGCATGACGACTTTAGTGTATTTCAAGGTTAACAAAATAGATTATTTTTCCACATCATTAGCCCTTATAGATACTGTATTTTAAAGGTAATGTCAAAATGAGAGAGACAAATCTTTTGTTTTAGTCTTTAAACAATTAATACGTAAGTTCTGATGCCTTCTTGTTATAACCACTCCGTTCAGACAGCGTTGGGACTCTGAAAAGTAAGTTTTTGTCGCTTACTGTTAGAACAAGCTCCAGTTCTTGGAAATCCTGCAGCCTTGCAACATCTTTGTCCTTTAAATAAATACAATAAGTTGTTAGGTAATGAACCAGCTGTTCAATTTTGCAGAGGTAAGTTAAAATTATAGGGTTATACTACCACAAGGTATGTATTTATCCATAAATATGATTATTCTTTACAGTAAACTGGAAAGCAGACGACCTGTTGCATCTTCTATTTATTCAGGGATCCTGTTCAGCTACTCACTTAAGTCTGTTTTCAGAAGGAATGCAACACTGGTGGTGAGGGCAAGTCATTAGTGGAATTACTTGTGAAGATCTACTGCATGCAACCCCCAACTCCTCCTCTTCTCCCCCTGGTAATTCTTGGAAGCTCATGAATTGATTCTTGCATCTACCCAGAAAGGTCCTTCATGCAGCTTCCGCTTGAGCAGCCCCTGACACCATCATAGAGCTTCTTCTAGAGTAGCCCACCACCACAACTGTGTAGAGCTGGCTTTGGTGAGGCCTTCAGAGAGCAATGGAAGACACCCACCCACAGCACAGGCTCCACTCTGATCCCCTTGCAGCAGCACTCTGCTGCTAAACAGCTTTAAATAGGATTTGTTTTGTATCACCTCAAGGAACAATAAAAAAGTTTTCTGCAGTCCTGCCCAGAGAGCCTGAAGTCATTAGAGCTGGAAATAAAAACAGGCCTTTCCACAACAACCTGAGCTGGCAAGTAACAGAATTGCTTATGTCTTTTCTTTTTTTCCCTTCACTTCTTGACTAACAGAGGATCAGTCATCCTATAGTCAGTGAAGATGCAGCAGAGTGAAGGCTATTAGGCTAGCACTGATCAGATTAGCTCCATGACTGACACCAACAGTGCTCTGGAGCAATCTGAGAGTGAAAGAAAGGTCAGCGACAAATCAGTGCAACATATCAGCAGCTCTGGTTTCTGTTTGCTCCACGGGTGAACGTTGCTGAAGTGAAAAGACAGCTACACTCCCAGACCTGCACTCAGTAATTCTGAAACACTCTGCTGTGTTTTGAAAGCACTTACACGGGTTTTACTGAAGTTGAGTACTGCAGGTCTTCTAAATGCTGCTGACAGGTCACAGTGGTGTGGGATTGCACTGAATCGAAGAATGTAGATATTAATTGTGCCAACAACAAATGTTTATGAAAGGAAATGATGAAGAAACTTGAGAACCTTTTCACTAAAACAACCAAAGCAAGTGCTGGATGGTGAAAGTTGTAGGGAGGTTTTTTTGTTTGTTTTTTTTTTTTTTTTTTCAGGTGACCAACACATTATTCCTTTTAATGGCAACCTAAAAATCTTTTTTATAAATTACTGCACTTCACAATTTAGAGTTCTTACCTTCCTTAACATTGTATTGGGTAATTTTCTGATCTTCTGTACGTGCTCGGGGTTAACACCCAGCTCACAGCAACTCACTCGGAGCAGTTCCTTGTAGGTCAGTTCTTGTCTGTCCAGTTCAATTTCAATGAAGTCATTTTCTTTCAGATTAGGGTTTTGTATTCTAACTTTAAGCACCAGTTCTGTTAGAAATAAAAAGGTACATTAATAGGCAGATGTATAAAGGAATTGGAAAAGGTATCTCTGTACTGACTTCCAAACATCTCTGAGTTCTATTAACCTTGTTTGTGTCACTTGTAACAATACAGCAATCCTCAGAAAGCAAACAATGGGACTTACCTGGCCACAATTTTCATTAGATTGACTTTCACCAGCCTACATAAAAAAATCATTACAAATGCAATACAGCATGTGAGTGTGCACATATGAACCTTTGTGTCAGTACTCAACTTACTGGATTTGAGCTAACTTAAAAGCAGATTGTGCTGGTTATCAATTTTGTGAGCAATCCAAGACTGCTTTTATTGGATTTTGATTCTTTTGGTCATCCGTGAACCTATCATTGCTAAGTCATGGCATCAGAACACCTTTGATTTCAAGAATAAAATTCTGAACTGAAACTGAAATTCCAGATTTCCCTCTTTGGGCAGGTGAAATGTAGATCATAGAATGGTTCACCTCAAGACTGAGGTCTGCAGATGGATCCACGTCAAGTTCTCTCCTGAGCTCACTGCCTGTGGACTCAAGTTCTTCCTTTGAAGCTTGGAATGTGCTATTTAGAGGATTGGATTACTCTCGTGTTGGTGTGCTTTTGTAGCATTTGAGACAAACAGCAAATGTTTTTAGCAATATTTTAATAACAGTTGCAGCAGAAACAGGATATTGGCCTCTTTAATTCCTTTCAAATGTTTCCAGAATGCCTAAGCATGGGAACCTGAAACTCTCTAGAAGTGCTGTGAATACACATAACCTTGAGTAGTCTGCTTGCACCCTCCAAGATGACAGAACTTCTAAGACAAAGTGAGAAGAGACATCTACTATTACCTTGCATATTGAGGGGAAAAGCTCCTGTGAAGAAAACGGGCTGAAATGCTGGCACAGGCCCCATGCAGGAGCTGTTCTCCTGCTGAGGTATGGGCTGATTCGATCCAGCTGGCAAAGGGTGACTTCTGCTCCAGGACACTGCTCCCTGGTAATGAGGAGCTCTCTGAAGGGCAGGTTTTGGGTGTGGTGGTGCAGTGCAGCCTCTGGGCAGGGCCCCCTCATCAGCCACCTCTGGAGCAGCGCTCCCCCCCCGTACGGGCGCCCGCGTGCAAGTCTCCACATCAGGGAAGGACACAGAGTCCGTATCTTGTGGCTCCAAGTGTGAGACACTCCCGTTGACAGAGGGATCTGGAATACTGTTACTAATGCTGTTGTAAACGTAAGGGAAGGGTGGGTTAGCCAGGTAGTTAGGGATGATTGGCAGTTCTGAATCTTTCTTTAAGTCTGGGAGTTCGTCATCTTCCGCTGTAAAACAAACAAAACAATATTCTCTGAGACTGATTCAAGGGGGGGGGGAAAGTAGTATTGCTATTGTACTGTGGAGTTTCTTTTTTTTTTCTTTTTTAGAGAGAGGGAGTAGAGGGCTAAAACCATCACAGGATAAAGATGAATCAAGAAGCACAACACCTCTTTTTTCTATGGTAAACATGGCCATGCTCAGGTGTTACAATACAGCAAACACAAAAGAAGAGCCCAATTTTAGTAATTCTGAGGCTCTTGTTTCCTTCTAAATGCTGCAACACTATTGGTTTGGTGTGGTTTAATCCATAGCCAGCTCGTTGTAACATGGTCTCTGGGGGTATAATGCTGCCGTCTTCATAATGTATAAGGAAATGAAAACAAAGGGTAATATTAAAGCAGGGGATAAAGGGAAAGGAACATGCAGTACTGGGAGAGCTGAAACATTACCAATTCAACAGCTGGGAGACAGTAATGAAAACAAAACCAGACAAGGGAATACAAAGGGGAGGAAAGAGGTTGTTGATCGACCGTATTTCACATTACTTATCACCTCTAGCAGCAAAGCTTACTCTGCTCCAGCAGTTACACAACACAATAAAATGTCCTTTAATGAGCTGTTTCTCTGGGATGCTAATTTTCCATTTATCCAACACAGTGTCTAAGTTCCATAGAACACCAGAAAGATTTAAGTGTTGCTCCTATAAGGCCTTCACCCAAATCTGAGACATTGTCTCCCATTGACCTTTTGAAAATAGGAAGCTGCATCTATCTGTCACTGGTTTCATTGTAGCTTTTTTCAAAATACATTTTTTTCTCATTTTTCAGTGTTTAGAAAAAAAGTCTGTCTAGGTGGACATGGGATTTATTTGTAATCCCCTTTCCTTACCAAGTTAACACTCTAGAAATCAAGGCACAGCTATTACTAAAACTCAAGCAGGGTATCTTCACATGCAAAAGGAAGGTTGGAACTTATGGGCTTTAAATAGCCTTGTACTCCAGCCTGTGACAACCACATCACACCGCAGAGCCAGCAGGTCTGGTTTACCTCCCAACATCTTCCTTATCTCTGGCTTTGACGTTAGCTGGGCTGGGCTCTCCCCTTTCTTGGTGAGGATCTCCTTGTCCGCCCCGGCGTGCAGCAGGTAGGCCACCACTGGAGCGTGGTTCCGTTTACAAGCCCAGTGCAAACAGGTCCTGCATGTGGAAAATGTTAACACTGTTTGAAATCCTCAATTATGGAAGAATGACTTCCACTCCCTCTCGCTGCCTCTGAGAAGGACAAGGCCTAATGCTTGTCTGACATAAAAAAAGGGTTTAATTGCAATCTTCCGTGGAAATCTATGCTGGTTTTGGAGCCTGCAGTGACACCTGCTGATGCAGTTTTCCTTTGCTCTAATGATCTGGATATTGAGTTACCACAGTAGTATTTTTAAAGTTCAAGATCTTTCAATTTGTCATTTCTTAGGCTACTAACTTTTCTGGTAAAATAAATACAAAATGAAGGCTTGTGTATGCTACTTTAATCTTTGAAAGAGTAAGTTGTACTTAAAATTACTTAAAATACTTGTCTGTGTATATATGAGCTAATAGGGCTACTTCCCTAGGCTGCTATTTTTATTTTTTATTTACTGCTGTCAGCACAACAATTTGCATTTTATTGAAAATAAATGATGTTTAAAATATCATAAGCATAGTTTGTAAGCACGGTTCTTTGCCCAGTTGCCATGTGTAGCACCAGCAATTCCCAAGCTTCAATCTGCAGACAAGCCGTATTCTGCACAATAACCAATGCACAGAACTATCACTTTTCTGTTTTGTTTTGTTTTGTTTTTTTCTGTGCAGTGTTTTCTGGACTTTTCACAAAAATCTCTTTGTGAAATACTGTGAATAGCCTGCAGGAATTCGGAAGTTGCACGTTGCCAAGTCATACACTAGACCACTGGACCAAAATGCTGGGAAAAAGTGGAGACAGCAGGGCTGTGTTTGCTTTGAGAGCAAAATCTGCAGGTTTAGGTATGTAAGGTATGAGAGCATTTGTCTCACTCTGGGATCCATCCTGAACCATTCCATGTGGTCTCATGCAGAAGTACCAGCCACCCATGGACCCAACACACATCAGAATGTAAGTACTCAGCACCTCTTAGCATCAGAGATACTGGGATGGTCATTGGAGAAATTTAAATTCTACAAGCAAACTTAAGCAGCAGTGAAGTTCTATTTACTGCCACAGTTAAATATGACCAGGACATTATTCTAAAAAATAATTACATGACAGATTTCTTTCATCAGTTCCAGGTTTAGATACAAACTCATTTTGATGAGTTTGAACTTGATGTCTTATGAATCAGTTCTCTTAAATTTTTACGAGTTCCAATTTTAATCACCACACTTTGAACCTCAAGTTGCAAGTTTCCCACGCTTCTCAAAATCGCTGATCAAGCTTTCATCTTCAGCTCCTTTCCTCATTTTAGTCTTCCTATTTTTAATTACAACTTCAAGCACGACACAGCACAGTAAACTCATGCTGAATTGAACTTAGGGAAAACAGTCTCCAGAAACGCCTGAGCATTCCCTGTAAATCCTGCTTTGAATAACATTGTGTGCGTGATGTTAGAGTTCCACTCGTGTAAGTGTCTACTACAGAAGGGTCTCGGGTTTGGTGTTGTTGGGTGGTGTGTGAATGAGGTGTGGAAAGCAAACTGTTTCTATGTATCACTGAAACAGCCTGCGCCTCCCTGCTCGAAAGTCATTTTCAAACCTGATTTAGGAGTTAACATAAAAGATTTCTGTTTAGACATGAACACATGCTGGCGAGGCAAGGTTTGCATTCCGAGAGACAGGGCTGTGCCCTTAAAAAAAAAAATAAAAAAAAAAAGCCAATATATAAAGTAACAATATAGTGACCTGGAGAAGCATCAAAGAGCACAAGATCCAAGGAGGAGGTGGGAAGGGGTGTCTGCCACAGCAGTTAGCAGCTGCAGCACCACTTTTCGCTCTTTGATACCCGCAGAGAGCAGTGTTTGCCAGCGCACCGACCTTTTAATACCATTCTCAACCCCGAGCGATCGGTGCTCCAGGCGGAGGAGCGAGCCTTCGGCAGCGCTGGCTCTGG